AGATATTATATGGAACATAAGATAAAGATTGAATATCCAAAAGAATCTACAGTTAATCCTTTCTTTAAATGTTTGAATTTAAATTTTTGAATGAAAAATTCAAATTATGCTAGGGCGGAATTTCCAAAAATTTAAAAAAAAAATTAATATGTTTATTAAATTTTTATGCGGGAATCCTAATTACTTTTTAGCTACTATTTTATATTTTATTGGGTTGCCTCTTTATATAATAATAGATAATAAATTTGCTATTTGTTTCATTCATTTGTTATTAATATTTATATATATCTTTATTTTTGTTCATTCAAATTTATATATAATATTTTTATATAAAGTTTATAATTAGAAATAAAAATCGGATAATGAAGTTGATTTGAGAATTTTAATAGAAATATTTAAACTGAAATTGATTAGTATAATGAGATTTAACAAAAAAAGTAAAAAGAAAAATGAAAAGTTAATTTAGTTATTGTCTGATATGCAAGGCAATAATACTTTAGTTAATTCTTTCTTAAATGAATAAAAAGCATACATATCCGATAGAGATAGATTTAGGGCCGATTTTTCTATTTCAACAAAATATGGCCGATTTTCTTTCTAAACTCACCGAATTCAACACAATTCAAATTATAGAATTTTCTGCCGAAAATATTACTTAATATACATGGGCGGGAAATGGCTTTAAAGAAGAGGGAAAACGAAATATTTTTTTTTTCAAGTTTTTTGAATAATTTTTCTTAACCGTATTATATAGTAATAGATGCAAGGTCACACTACGTCCATCTCAATATCTATTTAACTTTAACTTGCATAATTTTTAATATAATAATTATAATTAAATAATATCAGTAACTCATTCTTACTCATCATATTAATTTTAATTCACTATTCATTCACTTGCATAATTTTAGTTAACCGTTACTTCCACTCATCTTTTTACTACTTTTACGTCAAATCAACATTAATTATTTTATTTTAAATATAATTTTGATACAAACTTAAACTCTCACTAAAACTTACCAAACCAGTCTTTTCAAAATTAACACTACTTAACGATATAGGATGTCACACCAAGTCGAAGTTAAAAAAGGACGTCATATAAGCGAGTTACCAGTAACTCGAGCTCAACTTGAAAATTTTATACGTCGATTGGTTGATCAATTGAGAAGAACACGAGCTCATTGAAGACAATACTTTACCTCAGAGTAAGTTAGATTAGTCGCAAATTTTGACCATCTGATAACGAACAATAAGAGATAAGGGGGATTATTTTGGGGATAAGAACCACATGTGGACCAAAAAAAAAAAA